ATACCCTGCCCGATGTCTATCACCCAGCCACCCAATCCCTCCCACCCCCCACCACTCCAGCAACCCTCAGTTTGTTTCCTGAGATTAAGAATTCCTCATATCAGTGAGGTCATATGATACATGTCTTTCTCTGACTGACTTATTTCACTCAGCATAACCCCCTCCAGTTCCATCCACGTTGTTGCAAATGGCAAGATCTCATTCCTTTTGATGGCTGCATAATATTCCATTGTGTATATATACCACATCTTCTTTATCCATTCATCTGTCGATGGACATCTTGGCTCTTGTGGACATTGCTGCTATAAACATTGGGGTGCACGTACCCCTTCGGATCCCTACATTTGTATCTTTGGGGTAAATACCCAGTAGACAGCATCTATTCTTGATAAAAACCCTCAACAAGGATGGAACATACCTCAACATCATAAAAGCCATATATGAAAGACCCACATCAAATATCCTCAGTGGGGAAAAACTGAGAGCTTTTCCTTTATGGTCAGGAACTATACAGGGATTTCCACTCTTCACCATTACTGTTCACCTTAGTACTGGAAGTCTTAGCCTCAGTAGTCAGACAACAAAAAGAAATAAAAGGCATTCAGATCAGTAAGGAAGAAGTCAAATTTTCACTATTTGCAGATGACATGATACTGTACGGAGAAAACCTGAAAGACTCCACCAAAAAATTGCTAGAACTAATACATGAATTCAGTTGCAAGATAAAAAAATCAATGTACTGAAATCTGTTGCATTTCTATACACCAATAATGAAGCAGCAGAAAAAGAAATCAAGGAATCAGTTCCATTTACCCAGGCGCCCATAAACTAATCTTTGACAAAGCAGGAAAAAATATCCAATGGGAAAAAGAATGCCTCTTTAATAAATAGTGTTGGAAAAACTGGACAGCGACATGCAGAAGAATGAAACTGGACCACTTTCCTACACCATACACAAAAATAAACTAAAAATGGATAAGAGACCTAATTGTGAGACAGGAATCCATCAAAATCCTAGAGGAGGGGCGCCTGGGTGGCTCAGTCGTTAAGCGTCTGCCTTCAGCTCAGGTCATGGTCCCAGGGTCCTGGGATTGAGCCCCTCATCAGATCTCTGCTCAGCGGAAAGCCTGCTTCTCCCTCTCCCACTCCCTCTGCTTGTGTTCCCTCTCTTGCTCTCTCTCTCTGTCAAATAAATAAAATCTTAAAAAAAAAAAAAATCCTAGAGGAGAACACAGGCAACAACCTCTTTAACTTTGGCTGTGCCAACTTCCTATAAGACATGCTGTTGGAGGCAGGGGAAATAAAAGCAGAAATGAACTATTGGGACTTCATCAGGATAAAATGCTTCTGTGCAGCGAAGGAAACACTCATCAAAACTAAAAGGCTGCCTATAGAATGGGAGAAGATATTTGCAAATGACATACCTGATAATGGGTTAGTATCCAAAATCAATAACGAACTCATCAAACTCAACACCCAAAAAACAAGTAATCCAGTTAAGAAGTGGGTAGAAGACATAAATAGACATTTTTCCAAAGAAGACATACAGATGGCTAACAGACACATGAAAAAAATGCTCAACATCACTCATCATTAGGAAATACAAATCAAGGGGCGCCTGGGTGGCTCAGTCGTTAAGCGTCTGCCTTCAGCTCAGGTCATGATCCTGGGGTCCTGGAATCGAGCCCCGTGTCGGGCTCCCTGCTCAATGGGAAGCCTGCTTCTCCTTTTCCGGCTCCCCCTGCTTGTGTTCCCTCTCTCATTGTCTCTCTGTCAAATAAATAAAAATCTTTAAAAAAATAAATAAAAGGAAATACAAATCAAAACCACAATGAGATACCACCTCACACCTGTCAGAATGGCTAAAATTGACAACACAGTAAAAAACATGTTGGTGAGGATGTGGAGAAAGGGGAACCCTCTTACACTGTTGGTGGGAATGCAAACTGGTGCAGTCATTCTGGAAAACAATACGGAGGTTCCTCAAAAAGTTAAAAATAGAACTACCCTACGATCCAGCAATTACACTTCTAGGTGTTTACCCAAAGGATATAAAAACAAAGATTTGAAGGGGTACATGCATCCCGATGCTTATAGCAGCAATATCAATGATAGCCAAACTATGGAAAGAGCCGAAATGCCCATCGACTGATGAATGGATAAAAAAGTGGTATACACACACACACACACACACTGGAATATTACAAAGCCATTAAAAAATGAAATCTTGCCATTTGCAGCAACATGGTTGGAGCTAGAGTGTATTATTCAAAGTGAAATAAGTCAGAGAAAGACAAGTACCATATGATTTCACTCATGTGGAATTTAGGAAACAAAACAGATGAACATGTGGGAAGGGTGGAAAAAGAGAAGGAGGCGAGAGGCAAAGCATAAGAGACTTTTTAAAAGAGAGAGCATGAGGTAGGGGCAGGGGCAGTAGGAGAAGGAGAGGGAGAGAAGCAGACTTCCCACTGAGCGTGGAGCCTGACTTGGATTGATCTCACGACCCTGAGGTTATGACTTGAGCCGAATTCAAGAGTCAGACGCTTAACCGACGGAGCACCCCAGGCACCCCAAGAGGCTCTTAGCAATAAAGAACAAACTGAGGGTTGATGGAGGGAGGTGGATGGGGGATGGGCTAAATAGGTGACAGGTATTAAGGAGGGAACTTGTTATGATAAACACTGGATGTTATATGTAAGTGATGAATCACCAAATTCTATTCCTGAAACCAGTATTACACCACATGTTAATTAACTAGAATTTAAATAGAAATTTGGAAGAAACAAGAAAGAGAATGTAATAGGATGCATAAACATAACAATAAATTTTCAAAGTTGTGATAGTGGCATATGTGTAGTCAACAAAATAGATAATGTCCAGAAAAAAATCCCAAGTTCTTATGGGAATCTGTGTATGATGAATGGCATTTCAAATCTGTGGAAAAAAGACATGTACTTAAGTGTGAGACAACAATGTAAGCATTTTGAAAATTAAGTGAACAAATAAATCAATGGAATGCACACTTTATACCAAAGTAAATTCTCCTTTAAATGTAAGGATCGAGGTAAAGGCTTGGCATTGACATGTGATACTTGGAATAAATTCAAAAAAATGGCTCAACCCTAAGATCATAAATTATGAGTGTGTAGCTTTGTCACATGGTGTTTGGCCTGACAACTTACTTAAAAAGGATTAGATATTCAGGAATAGACTGAGTGATGAAGAAGGTAAGGTCTGGCACTTTAGTATCTTAGTGGGTGAACATTTAACACTCAGTTGGGTTTCCCAGTTCTATGCTCGAATCTGAGTTGGTTGCAAGTTACATACTTTTCCTAGAGTTTTGAGATAAAATCCCATTTTATTAAGGAAAATAGTGTTTTCTGAAGCAAAAGAACTTTGATGTGTGACAAAGAAATCTTATGGGTTTATTTTATATCTATTAATATTTTTATTTTTTCTACAAGAAAGATTGTTTACTGCCAATATTTACCTTCCACATTTGTAACTTACGTGGTTATCTATAGTCAAACATAAATTGGCTCTTCTAATTTTGCCAAGAAATAGCCTCACTTTAATGGTTTGTTTCCAGAATCTTTTTTCACCTTTTAGTATAAAGTTATGTGAACTTCAGTAATAACTATAGAATTCTCAGTATTTAAAGTATCTGGGATTATTTTCTTCATAACATGAAAGTAATTTTTAAATTATGTAATTATGTTCTGTTTTAATCATTATCTTCCGGTTTTCTTCATACTTCACCCATCTCAAAGAGTTTCCTTAAAGTATATTAACTGGTTCAGTGGCGCTTGGGTGGCTCAGTCATTAAGTGTCTGCCTTCAGCTCGGGTCATGATCCCAGGGTCCTGGAATTAAGTCCCGCATCGGGCTCCCTGCTCAGCAGCAAGCCTGCTTCTCCCTCTCCCTCTGCCTGTAACTCCCCCTGCTTGTGCTCTCTCTTTCTCTGTCAAATGAATAAATAAAATTTTTAAAATAAAATAAAAAATAAAGTATATTAACTGGTTCAACTCATTAATCTTGATACTATGGAATTACTAAAACTTCTCTTTCTCAAAAAAAAAGTATTATTTTCCAGATATGTCACTTTAAATTGGTATAAACCTATCTGGTGAGATTCTTTTCATTTTGAACATTTATTTTCTGAATCATAACACTTAATTTTAATCCTTTATACTGTGACAAAACTTCCATGGATTTGATATGGGAAAGGAACTTAAATTTAAGTATATTACCTCACAAAACCTTTCCTCCATATGTGACATGGGTATAATTATCCCTATCAGCCCAGCCACACAAGGTAGATGTCATCTGCTTTTACCTGTTGAGACACCTGAATCTTGGAAGAGTCAGGCAAATTTCTCAAAGTCACATTGCTTCTGAGTGACAGAGCTAGAAGGAAAACCAAGGGTTTTCTGACTCCAAAGCTTTTGATCTCTTTACTACCCATTGTTTTTATTCCATAAGGAATTTAATATTTGTTGAATGAAGGAATGACAGAGACTGAGAGGTTTCTGTCATTGAAGCATGTGTAAGGTTTTACACACTCTATGTTTATTGATTACCGTATCACAGGCACCGTGATGAATCTTTATTTATTTATTATTTACTTTTATTTATTATTTATTGTTTATTTATTATATATATTTAAGTTTTAGAACCCTTTTTATTTTTAATTAGAGGCTAAGATTTTAGTCTCTTAATTTCTATTAGGTTTAAGGTTTTTCCAGCTCTTGAACTTTTATCTTTTTTGTTTTTATTATTGTGGTAGTTGTTTTGTTTTGCAAATCAACCCTTTGATAGACTCTGAACCAGAACCATTGAGGGTATAACTATACGCGAAGCCACCGTCAGCCAGACAAATAAACACCTGAATGTTTACTTTGATTAGAGTTGAACTGTGAAATTAATCTGCTTGCTGATTTTTTCCAAGATTTAGCAAGAGGAAATAATAAATCGTTGTGGTTTTCTGTTCTCTTTCAGCTTTCAGAAGAATTATTAGATAAATGGCTCTCCTACCCAGAGTCCCAGCATGTACCCCTCGGCCAGCATATGCTTGGTTTTGCTATGAAGTCTGTTACACAGATGGTAATGGGTAGTACATTTGAAGATGACCAAGAAGTCATTCACTTCCAGAAGAATCATGGCACAGTAAGTCTTGGGACAAGTTTAAAATTATTCGTTCATCAAATCGGATAGTTTAATAATGTAGACTTTACCTCTCAAGAAGAAGGTTTAGGATCTTGTAGTGGAGAATTTTCTTGTTTTGGGCTAAAATAGCAGTGCAAGCAAAGATAATTGTATTTCTAAAAAATGTAAGAATTACTTTTTTTAAGCAATTTTTGAAATTTAAAAAGCATCTAAATTTCCTAAAGAAACTTCCTTTTAATACTTATCAAGTATGTTATAAAATAATACTGAATTCTAGAATAAAGAGAAAAACTTTAATAGAACTAGGCTATGTCCCATACAGAAAGAAATTAAAGCCAGTGGAACATTAAGATGTTAATGAAATGAATATGATTTGAAGAAAGGCTAATTCAGTCTAAAATTGATTTACTTTTTTTTCTAGATTCCCATATGGAATTTATTTTATTCTCTATTATTAGTTTCAGTATTAATTTACTTAATCCCAATATTAATTTATTTGGTTCAAATAATACTTGGGTTGTTTTGCTGCATTTTGGGTCTCTCAGAAATTATTCCTTATTTTATTCAAATCTACAAAAACATTTTCGTTAAATAATCAAGATAATGTGTTTAGAACAAAAATCACTAGAAATTGTGGCTTAACACTCTCTTATTGTTTAATATACTTTTCCCCATTAAAATGGTTTAATTACATATGTCTGATGATTACAAAATACATGTTTCTTATCAACATACTCAGGAGTGTAAAAATAAAGGTGGAAAAATCACTCTAAAATGAGGAGAAAGAAAATACCAGCATAAAAACATACAGAATAGGTCATCCTGGAAATAATACTGGATGTCTTTTTTAAAAAATGCTATCTTGGGACTCTTGAGTGGCATTCACTTCCTAACTAGTCTGTGTACCCAGGCAAAATGAATTGGTTAAGGAATTCCTAAAATGTCTTCATATTTTAATGAAGAATCAACTTTTGACTCAGTTATTGTCTGATTTTTTTTTGCATGTTGACAAGATAGCATTTTTTTAAAAGATTTCATTTATTTGTCAGAGAGAGAGAGCACAAAGCACGGGGAGCAGCAGGGAGAGGGAGAAGCAGGTTCCCCACTGAGCAGGGAGCCTGATGTGGGACTCGATGTGGGACCATGACCTGAGCCGAAGGCAGACGCTTAACTGACTGAGCCACCCAGGTGCCCCAACAAGGGTATTCTCTTAAATAGTGACAACACAGTTTTCAAACCTGGGAAATTGAACATTCATACGATACTGTTATCCACAGCCCATATTCAGATTTCTTCACTTTCAGTGGTCAGACCTCTTTAATGTGGAAGAGTTCCTCGGTTTTTCTTTATTTTTTGACCTTGACATTTTTTAAAAAACAAAGGCCGGTTATTTTGTGCAGTGTCTCTCAATTTGGGTTTGAGTAGATTCAAATGATGTATTTTTGGAATCTGGTATTCTCTTAACAATACTAGAAGTTGTCAAAGGGAAGTTTCCAGACCATAAACATGACTTAAGTTCCTTCTTCAAATGATGTTTTAATGTCTGAAGCACCACAGTGTTGCTGTTGTCCTATCATGCCACCAGAAATAATAATCAATTTATGCATGCAGAGGCAATGACAACTGCATATGACTGCTGCTTGTTTGACAGCAGTTGAGATGCCATCACTTGCAGGACGTATACTGATTTCACAGGTATCAAACTGAAAAACGTACTCATCACATATAGTTGTATACTGTGTTTCTGAAATGTGCTCCGAAAACTTGTCCCAGTTATTTTCCCACCAACATTAGTGTGCTCATTCCCTGACATTTAGAGTTATTGGTCCTTTAAATATTTGCCTATATAATAAGTCAAAAATTGTATTTCATGATTATAATTTTTATTTTTTATTGTTTACAAGGTTAAACATCATTTAATATTTTTATCAAACATCTGTGTTTCAATTTGTGTTTTGTGGGATACTTTCTTATGTTCTTTGCCATATTTCTGTTGATGTGTTTTTTACTAATCAGAAAGAGCTCCTTATTTTTTTTTAATTTTATCTTTATTTTTTAAAGTAAACTGTGCACCCAGCGTGGGGCTTGAACTCATGACCCCGAGATCAAGAGTTGCATGCTCTACTGACTAAGCCAGCCAGATGCCCTAAGAGCTCTTTATTTTTATCTGTTTTCATTTATAGGATTTTAAAAAAAGAAAGGCTTTATTTTGGGTTTATAATAAAACTGAGAGGAAAGGGGCGCCTGGGTGGCTCAGTTGGTTAAGCATCCAGCTCTTGATTTCAGCTCAGGTTAGGGTTGTGAGATTGAGCCCCATATTGGGCTCCATGCTGAGTGTGGAGCCTGCTTAGAATTCTCTTTCTCCCTTTTCCTCAAAAAAAAAGGAAGGAGGAAGATACAGAGATTTCATATACCCCATGCTTCCACACATGCATAGCCTTCACCATTATTGACATCACTTACCAAAATTGCGCATTTTTTTCTAAGGATGAACCTGTATTGACATATCATAATTACCCCAAGGGTTCACAGTTGGTATTGTACATTCAGGGGGTTTGGACAAATGTATAATGACATATATCTATCATTATAATATCATACAAAGGATTGTTACTGCCCTAAAAATCCTCTGTCTATTCATCTCCTGCCTCCTCTTTCTGGCAAGCACTAACCTTTTTTAAAGATTTTTTTTTTTTTAAAGATTTTATTTATTTATTTGACAGAGAGAGAGATAGTGAGAGCAGGAACACAAGCAGGGGGAGTGGGAGAGGAAGAAGCAGGCTTCCCGCCGAGCAGGGAGCCTGATGTGGGGCTTGATCCCAGAACCCTGAGATCATGACCTGAGCTGAACGCAGACTGTTAACGACTGAGCCACCCAGGCGCCCAAACACTGACCTTTTTATTGTATCCTTAGTTTTGCCTTTTCTAGAATGTCATATAGTTGGAATCATTCTAGTATGTAAACTTCTCAGATTGGCTTATTTTTCACTTACATTTAAGCTTCATCCATGTCTTTTCACGGCTTGATAGCTCATTTCTTTTAGCACTGAATAGTATTGCATTGTCTGGATGTACCACAGCTCATCCATTCATCTACTAAAGGACATCTTGGTTGCTTCCCAGTTTTGGGAGTTATGAACAAAGCTTCAGTGAACAGCTGTGTGCAGGTTTTTCTGTGGACATAAGTTTCCAACTCCTTTGGGTAAATACCAAGAGGTGTGATTGCTGGTAAGAGTATGTTTAATTTTGTAAGAAACGGTTTTTGAGGATTCTGTTGATGTATCCTCTGGCTCAGAGGTTCTTTACTAAGCTGTGACCAGTGTACTAATAAGCCTATGAAAGGCATTCTTCATTTCTGCTACAGTGTTTTTTATCTCTAGCATTTCTTTCTGGTGGTTAGGATTTCCATCTCTCTGCCTACATTGCCTATCTGTTCTTGCATGCTGTGTACTTTATCCTTTACCTAAGGATCCTTTAGAACCCTTAGCAGCATATTAAGCAGAGTTGTTTTAAATTCCTGGGGGCACCTGGGTGGCTTCGTCAGTTGGGCATCTGACTCTTGGTATTGGCTCAGGTCATGGTCTTGGGTTGTGAGAGCAAGCCCCACGTCAGGCTCCGTGCTGGGCGTGGAGTCTCCTTGAGGTTCTCTTTCTCCCTCTGCCCCTCCCCCCACCTTCCCCCACCCCTCCTCGCATGCTCTAAATTAATTAATTAATTAATTAGTTCTTCATCTGATAATTCCAATGTCCCCTCCATATATTGTTCTAATGCTTGCTCTGTTCCTTCAAATTGTATTTTTTACCTTTTGGTATCCCTTGTAATTTTTTTATTGATCCCTGGACAAACTGGGTAAAACAAACTGGTGTAAATAGGCCTTTAGTAATGTGATGGTGAGGTGTGAGGAAAGGGGAAGCATCCCACAGTCCTATGATTATGTGTCAGTCTTTTAGTGAGCCTGTGCCTCTGGATTGTGAACTTCATAAGCGTTTCTCAATTTTTTTTTCCCCTCCCCATTTGGGTGGGACAGGATGGCTTCCTTCTTCCTTCTTCCACCTGAAACGCTAGCTCTGACTGGAGTTGGATATTTCCCTTCTCCTAGGTAGTTAGGCTCTGACAAAACCCCAGCAGGTTAGGCTCTGAGGGCAGGCCTTGTTAAGAACAGAGTGCTCTGGTTTATTTCAAATTAGTTCCTTTTTCAAGGAAATTTTTTTCAAGCTTCCCTGCTAGAATCCCAAGGGGGAGTTTCTTCATTATTTAGTGTGGGAACCTGGTTGAGCTCTTAAAGGTAAATCTCACAATATTTTTGGGGGGCGGGGGTTGGGACTATGATTGGGTCTCCCTGGAGTTTTTAATTCTCAGTGTTGTATATACTGAACCTCCAGCTGTTTGTTAATTACAGTTCAGGTTTTCCTACCCCAGGACTGGTTTCTGAGGTGGTTTCTGCTTGTGGGTCTCTGCTTCGGTAAGAGATAACTCCCTGATTTCACCTGTCTCTTTAATCTTGGGCCCTGTCCTGTCTTCCTGTTTTCCCTAGTTTCTTTAAACCCTGGGTCCTCTCCTGTCTTAGGGTCCAAGAAGAGTTGCTGATTTTTCAGTCTGTTCAGCTTTTTGTCATTGGAATGGAGTTGCTAAATGAATTCAGCTTTCTCATCATTAATTTATGCCCTCTGCTCTGTCATGCTTAGAAAGTCCTTTCCGGGGGCTCCTGCGTGGCTCAGTCAGTTAAGCGTTTGCACAGGTAATGATCTTGGGGCCCTGGGATTGAGCCCCACGTTGGACTCCCTGCTCAGTGGGATGGTCTGCTTCTCCCTCTCCCCTTGCCCCTCTCCCCCGCTCATGCGTACTCGCTCATTCTCTCAAATAAATAAATAAAATCTTAAAAAAAAGAAACTCCTTTCCTGCTTTAGGGATATTCCTAATATAAATATTTATTATACATTTTCACAGTACTTTTAATAGTTTAATTTTTCACATTAAAAAATGTGTAAGGTATATCTTTGTAAGGTAAGAGTTAAGGACTCTTACTATAAATAATTATTCAAATATTTAGCATTGATTAATGAATGTTATATTCTTTCCCTACGTTCTTTCACAGCTTTTAAATAAGCTAAAGTTTTTTTCAGGGGCTAATTATCCAGTTTTGAAACAACTGGTGCCTGTTTTATTGTTTACTATCTCTAAACCCTAGACTAATTTTTAACCTTTTTTCTGGATCTCAGCCGGTGCTTATCAGTATCACAGGTGAAGTAAAAATTTGGATTTCCCTATGAATTTTATTCATCCACTGGTGCTGTTATAGTAAAAAATTGAAAATTGACGCTACTGCCACATCCTTTTCTTCCCCATTCCTACATCTTTTAAAGAAAAGAAACTTGTGACTTTCTAGTTATAATTAGTTTTAAAGTGCCCTGACTGAAATTACTAAAATATATTTGCACTCTATCCTCTGAGACTATGGAGTAAATCATTATGCAGCCCACTTAAAAGGGAGAACTTAATTATCAGTTCTGTTGGTAAGATAGAAATTTCTCAATTATTGGCTTAGATTGCTTGGTATTAGAAAATCTACTAGATAACAAGTATGTTTTCCTATTTTCAGGTTTGGTCTGAGATTGGCAAAGGCTTTTTAGATGGATCGCTTGATAAAAGTACAACTCGGAAAAAACAATATGAAGATGGTAAGTTTTGCTACTCTTAAATTATAGTAAGGATATGTGCCCCAATTTTAATAAGGTCATCTCTGAATCATGAGATTATAGGTCATGTATATTTTCTATCTTTATGTTTTTCTCCTACATTTCCTATATTAAAGGTTTTTCTTAAAAGAGAGGAAAAAGCAGTAAATCAATAAATGAAACTCTAGTACTCACTATAGAATGAGGCTGGTATAGCCTACAGGAAAATGTAAGGGTGCAATCCTGGGAAAGCAATTTGATAATACATATTAAGAGTCATAAATAATGGGGGTGTCTGGGTGGCTCAGTCCATTGAGTGGCTGCCTTCAGCTCAGGTCATGATCCCAGGGTCCTGGGATCAAGCCCCACATCGGGCTCCCTGCTCAATGGGCAGCCTGCTTCGCCCTCTCCACCATTTGTGCTCTCTTGTGTTCTCTCTTGCTCTCAAATAAATAATTTTTTTAAAAAGAATGCTTTAAAAAAAGTAATAAATAAAGGATAAAATTATCTAAGAGAAGAAAAAAATGAATATTTTTTTGTAGTGCTGTTTCTATAAATAGAAAATCAGAAGCAATCTAAATGTCCAACAATATAGGAATTGCTAAATCATACCAGCTTAAATATTGTATAGATATTTGTAAAAAATGTAGGAACATAAAAATTCTTGCTATTATAACATTGAGTAAAAATATTCCCGGGCGCCTGGGTGGCTCAGTCGGTTAAGTGTCTGCCTTCGGCTCAGGTCATGATCCCAGGGTCCTGGGATGGAGCCCCACATCGGCCTCCCAGCTCAGCGGGAAGCCTGCTTCTCCCTCTCCCTCTGTCTCTCTGTGCTCTCTCTGTCTCTGTCTCTCTCTCAAATGAATAAATAAAATATTTGAAAACATTTTCAGGGGCGCCTGGGTGGCTCAGCTATTAAGCGTCTGTCTTTGGCTCAGGTCATGATCCCAGGGTCCTGGGATTGGGCTCCCTGTTCAGCGGGAAGCCTGCTTCTCCCTCTCCCACTCCCCCTTCTTGTGTTCCCTCTCTCACTGTGTCTCTCTCCGTCAAATAAATAAATAAAATCTTTAAAATATATTTTCAAAATTTGGGGGCATTGGTTACAACTTTATATCTACACAGAAAAATAGCAGTTTTAGTTTGATAGCTCCACAGAATTATTCTTCCTTTTTTTTTTTTGGTTGTGTATCTTCTGTCAGTAACTTAATGATTATAGTGCTTTAATACTTTCATTTTGAGCTGCTTTGATTCCTTTTTTGGAAGTAGGGTAAATTAAAATACATGAGCTGTGTTGGAATAGTGGATTATTTTCCTTATATAATAGTGTTGCTTCCATTACTGTCATCCTTCATTCTTTAAATAAATGTTTGTGGTCTGTATGTGCTAGGCACTGTTTTATTTTGTGTGCGGGAGACAAAATTCCCTGCCCTCATGGGGCTTAAGTGATTCCCTTGATGTCCAACACAAGTCCAAAAAAGCCAATGCACTCTGGTTTTTATTGCCATTGTGATTATCTTGATGGATGCATTAGGACTAATTCACCTTAATAAAAAATGTATTTCACAAATATTGGTTCAATTAATCCAAAATGAAAATTAATAATTTATGCCCTGTGATTCTAAATAAAAGTAGATTATCTAACATGATATGTTTCTTGGGTTGTAACATTGGTGTAAATCAAATTTTTATTGAAAATGATTCTTTTTTTGGTATTTATGTGAGTAGGAAGCCATGGCTGGATCAGTGCATCCTTTGTTTACGTGAGTCATTCTTAACCCGGTCTGTACATTAAAGTCACCTTCAGAACTTAAAACAAAAAAAACTGAAGATCAGGCCCCACCATAAACCAGTTTATTCAGAGTCTAAGAGAGAGGTGCCCTGGGCATCAGATATTTCTGTGAAAGCTGTGCAGATTATTCTGATGTACTTGTAGGGATGAGAATGTACAGCAATAGTTACCAAGCTTTGCTACACATTGAATCTTTTAAGAAGTATGGGGGTGCCTGGCTGGTGCAGTCAGAAGAGCCTGTGACTCTTGATCTCAGGGTCATGAGTTCCAGTACCATGCTGGGTGCAGAGATTACTAAAAAAAATTAAACTATAAAAAAATAATAAATATTGACATCAGGCTTCCATTCCTAAACATTTGGATTTAATTTGAATGAGGTGTGACTCGTACTTTATGATTTTTTTTTTTTTTTTTTTGAGAGCGAAAGTGGGGCGGGAAGCAGAAGGAGAGAAAGGGAATCTTAAGCAGACTCCATGCCCAGTGTGGAGCCCAGTGCGGGGCTGGATCTCATGACCCTCAGATCATGACCCAAGCTGAAATCAAGAGTCAGACGCTTAACTGGCGGAGCCATCCAGGTGCCCCTACTTTACAATTTTTTTAAAAAAGCTTCCTAGGTGATTCTGATCTGTGGCAAAATTGGGAACCATTGCATCACAGTGTTAATAATTTTTCATTTTAATCACTAATGTGTTACATTCATGCAATTCTATAACTAGTGAATATCTATAATATTCTGGTATGTTTTTGGTGCTGGGGAGATGTTGATAAACAAAACAAAAATTGTAGTGGGAAGCAGCAGACAATAATCTACATAAGTAAACCGAATAGTGTTTTGTTTTGTTTTTTTTTTTTGAAGTCTTTATTCATTCATTTGCCAGAGAGAGAGGGAGAGTACAAGCAGGGGGAGTGGCAGGCAGAGGGAGAAGAGGCTCCTTGCTTAGCAGGACTAAGCATCGACTAAGGATCGATGCGGGACTCGATCCAGGATCCTGAGATCACGACCCAATCCAAAGGCAGACGCCCAACCATCTGAGCCACCCAGGTGCCCCTGAATAGTGTTTTAAAAGATGAAAAGTTCTATGGAGAAAATTAAATCAGGAAGGGAGATAGGGTGTGCTAGGGATGGGGAGGTTGTAGTTTTGAATAAGGTTATTAGGAAGGGCCTCACTAAGATTAGGTGACTTATAACACTTGCAAGAGATAAGGAAATCACTCACTGCAGATCATGTGGCTATCCACATGTCCAAAGGAAGAAGATTCTATGTAGAGGGAAAGTAATTGCAAAGTCCTGGAGATGGGAACTTTTTGGCTGGAGTGGTCAGTCAGAAGAGGAATAGAAGAGATGAGTCCAGAAAGACGGGAGGAGGGACAGATTTTGTCTGGCTTGTGTCTCATTGTATGACTAGGTTGTTACTATGAGATAGGAAGCCACTGGAAGATTTTAGCAGTTATAATCTGAGTTTTGTTTTTTTTTTTAAGATTTTATTTTTAAGTAATTTCTACATCCAATGTGGGACTCAAACTTACAACCCTGAGATCAAGACTTGCATGCTCTACTGACTGAGCCAGCCAGGCGCCCCAATCTGAATTACATTTTTAATGGGTCACTCTGGCTGCTGTGATAGATTATAGGCACCTAGAGCAGAAGCAGTGAGACTAATTCAGGGGCTGTTGCAATGAACCAGGCAAGAGAAATAATGTGACTTGGACTAGGTGGTAGGCAGCAGAAAATAGAGAATTGAAGGGGAAAAAAAGGAAGAGTAATTTTGTATTTTGAAGTTAGAACACAGACATTAGCTGACAGGTTAGTTGTATGGTATAAGAGAGAAGGAGACACCAAGGTTTCAGGCCTGAGTATTTGGAAAATGAGGTTGTTAGGGAGATAGGGAAGACTTGGGAAAATCCAGTTTTTTGCTGGGGAAGATCAAGAGTTCATTTGTAGATATGTTTAATAGGCTTCAGACATCTAAGTGGAGATGCTAAATTGGTTGTTAGATAGATGAATCTGGAGTTCAGGGGAAAGAAGTCCGAACTGGAAATATAAATGTGGAGTGTTCAGTCCATAAATTGTATTTAAAGCCTTGAGACTAGTGACCATCAAGGTAATGAATATAAATAGAAAAAGAAAAGAGGTCCGGCGGGGGAGGAGCAAGATGGCGGAGGAGTAGGAGACCTAAATTTCGTCTGGTCTCAGGAATTCAGCTAGGTAGGGATCAAACCATTCTGAACACCTACGAACTCAACAGATCGAAGGAAGGAATAGCAGCAACTCTGAACAGAAAAGCGACCACTTTCTGGAAGGTAGGATGTGCAGAGAAGTGAATCCGAGGCGATATTCGGCAAGATAGATGGTGGGGGAGGGGGCCTCCGTTAGCCGCTACCGGCAAGTGATAGAGCAGTGGAGCACAAAATCAGAAATTTTAGAAGTCGACTCTGCTGAGGGATGTTGCTCCAGTGGCTAAGTGGGGGGTGGAACCCTCACTGGGAGAGTGTGGTCTCAGGACCCTCGGGGTCACAGAAAGACCGGGGGTGCCTGAGTGCAGCAGAGCTCCCAGGTATCGGAGCGGGGAAGCCGGCTGCAGAGACGGAGACAAGGCGCGGGCTCTCAACTCGGGGTTGCCATAAACTGTGATCGCGGCACAGTCCGGCCAGTGCTCTTCCAACAGGGACCCAACAAGCAGCAGATCCAGGGAGACTCCCCTTCCTCCCCGGGAAGGAGTGGCGCGGGTGCGCACCGCAGGGATCTGCTGGTTTTGGAGACTCCCCACGGGGTCGTGAGCCAGAGATAGAAACGCTCGGTCACAGGCCGGGTGAGCACGGAGTGCGGCCAGAGACCAGGGAGACAGGAGTGATTGACTGCTTTTCTCTGCGGGCGCACTGAGCAGTGGGGCCCTGAGTTTTCGGCTCCTTTGGGGTGGAGATTGGGAGGCCGCCATTTTCACCCTGGTCCTCCAAAGCTGTACCGAAAGCTTGCAGGGAATAAAAGCTCTTGAGAGCAAACCCGAGCAGATTACTTAGCCCTAACCAGCAAGGGCGGGGCAATTCCGCCTCCGGCAAAGACATTTGGGAACCATGGCAACAGGCCCCTCCCCCAGAAGATCAGCACGAACAGCCAGCCAAGACCAAGTCTACCATCAATGAGAACAGCGGAACTTCAGTGCTAGGGGAATACAGCACATAGAATTCATGGCTTTTTTCCATGATTCTTTAGTCT